ATTATCTGAGTTCATAAATGTGTTTTTATTTTGTCATTGAGTATTTCAAAGTATCTCTGAACAAAAAGCTGAGGTTAAATTTTACATAATCAATATATACTCAGTAGTCCCAGTATATAAATGTGAAAATGTGAAGTTATTGTACAAAAAGCATTGCCTTGTTTTCGTTGTTCTGCCAGCACTTAGCATGTAGAACAGTACTCTAACACATGGGAGGAGAAAAGACATCATACTGCAATGCTAGCCACCACATACGTCAAAATTGAGTTTTCTTTTATCACTTTTAAAGTTCTACAAAAGTTGACATTGAAATTTAATGGAAAAGCTTCATATTCATGGACTCACAAGGCTATTGGTGGCCTTATGGGGTAGGTCCTCTCGGAGGTCATTTAGTTCATTTTCTCATTGGCATCTAGAGTGGAAAAATCATCTAGCCCACATGAAGGGTGCCCCTCAAAGAAGAGCCACAACTGCTGTTACCAATTCTTTTGACTGTCTGAAGAAACTCTCCTGATGGAGGAGGCATTTTGAAACCATCTCTATTTGCTCGTGTATTAATAATATAATATATAAATATCACATTCTTTTAAACAATTTTTATTTCTTTATTTATTTTAGACTTAGAGAGAGGGTCTATGCTATGTTGACAGGCTGGAGTGCAGTGGCTATTCACAGGCATGATCATCGTGCACTACAGCTTCAAACTCCTGGCTTTAAGGAATCCTTCCACCACTCTCTCTTGAGTAGCTGGGACTATAGGCATGTGCCACTGCACCCAGCTTGACAGTATGTTCTTATAACACAACTATTAGAAATCAAGTTCTAAAGATGAATCATGATAGAAAGTTGTCTGAAAAAATTGTTCCATTTTCTTTTAGAACGCAAGAGGACCTCTTACTCTTGATCACATTCAAATTCTAAATGTCTAGTGACTAAGATACTAATCATATGGGGTTACTTAGATTTATTGAGGAGGACAGGAATGCCAAAACTCTTAAGTTGTTTTTTTGTAGGGTGTAAGAACAAAGGCATCCCATGTGTCTCAAGAAATGAGTGAAGTCATGACCCAGTTCTTCCTCCTACTTTACAAAAATGTGACTAAAGAGAAAACTAGATGTGTTCCAGGACAGACTGGCTGACTAACTCTTACTGTCAACATGCACTGTGCAATTTCAAGACACAAGGACAACTGATAAAGAATATTAGCTTGGTTTTCCAGAAATAAGTTCTGTTCTGTTCAATCTACTTGCTCAATCTCCATTCTTTCATTCATGTGGAGTAATGAGATCTGCAATAAACACCACTAGGCAAGTCTCTGAGGATTACTGAGTTATTTCAGTAATTTTCTAATCTTCTATTCTAAACTTTTATAAAATGATTATCAGAAACTGAATCAGCAGTTGGAAGAATTGGAAATAGATTCTACTGTAATCATTTCCTGTAAGTAATAATTTCTCACACATTGTCACACCAAAATCTGTGTTCATCTTTAAGCAGAGTAAGTCATCAAGGAAGTAGATCACTTCTAAAAAATTAAACTTGTCTCTGGGTCTTCATAATATATTATAACTTTACTGAATGATTGTTCCTTGAATTTCCAATATTTTATGTCCTTAACTTGAATTTTCCCTATAGGTTGAAAAGTTGGGTTCTGGAATTGGCCTGTCAGGATTAAATCCTGGTTCCATCACTGAGAAGCTGTGTGACATTGGGAAAATTACTTAATCTCTCTGTGTTTCGGTTTTATGATCTGTACAGTGAAGTCAATAATGGTGAGAAAATGAGAAAAATGCATGCAAGCTTAGCATATCACTAGAATGATAAATGCTAGCAATTATAATCATTTTAGGGCCTCTACATTATTCTAGCATTTACTTTCCTCTGACTATCTGTACTTTATTAGATAAAAATTTTATTATTCACCAGACATTAAACTCCTGTGAATTTCTACATGTTGATGGTGAAGTTGGTGGGAGAATAGTGATGATAGTTTTACTTGAAGATGGGAATGTATGTGAGTTGAGCATGTCAGTCAGCTGAGGTACTGTCTGTTTCTGAAGAAGTCCCCTGGCTGAGTCTACACACTGTTAAGAATTATTATATATTTTTGGATATCTTTCCTAATATCTAATTGAAATTCTCTAATTGTTTTGTTTCATTTATGGAGTTGCCAAACAGCATTAAAAATATTGAAACATGAATATTTGAAAATAATTATTGTATCATTTGTTAATTCTTTTAAAAAAATATCAAAAACCCAGTTTTTTCAGCCTTTTGTTCTAGACTCCAGTTCTACTTCTTTTGACCCCTTCTCCCTGAGGCTAACAGGGCATCTGGCTCCTGTGTGGGTGTTGATGAAACTCAGACCATTACGTAGAGTACATGGAACTCAATCGGGCACAGTACATTCTAGGTGCTAAGACAGGCATAGAAGTGGATTAAGGCTTTACAAATGGTCTCTTCTCTCAAGGAGGAAACAGCGCCAACCTCCGTTTGCCAGGTTCAGAATGCATTGAGAATGGTATACTGATGAAGTTGATATGGTTAGCATATAATCACAATCTTGAAACATCACATTTTGACATTCAAGGAATATTTGACATTGCAATTTTAAAATATTATACATTCATTCACTCACTCAACAAATATAGCATGCTAAAATCATGAAAGAAGTATGCTAGAGTTTCTCAAATACAGCTTTTGGCTCTAACTGAATTACTAATTTCTTTTAGAGCAGATACATTGTACCTTATTCATATTTCTATCCCAAGGGTCAGTGTGTAGAAGACACTCAACTAATGCAACAAACATACTTTTCATAAATGAAAAATTAGATGCAAGTAATATGCTAACTGTGCATGACCAATAAAGTATTTGTTGTTATGTCTCATCTTTAAACTTTGAATTTAAGCAGAATTTGAATGCAAATACTGTCTCTATGAGTAATATATTTGGCAACAGTATTATGTTAGACCTTTCACTAAGATTAAATATATAATTTATATGCTTATCTAAAAAAGAAGATGAAATCAACAACCTATATAAACTATCCAGGGAGTCAAGTTTTTCTATGAAAACAAAACAAAACAAAACAAAACAAACAAACAAAAAAAACAGTTTAAAATAGGACTTTTCTCAAACTCAAATCCTCTTTCATGTAATAAAAGGAAATGAGCAAAGAAATCCAAACCCGCTGAAGTTTTCAGGGCCAAACATTTTGATTCAATATGTTCTGCTCTAAAATATTTGGTCTTGCTTGAATTTTTATTGCTATATGTTCTCAGTTTATATTTAGCTGTGAGGAACACAAGTAGGAAAGAGTGAATGTGCAGAACATTCTTTTCAAGAGCATGGCAGTGAATTTGAGAAAATATGTATTAAAGGAACACTTTTTGTGTTTTTAACTTTCAGCCCCTTTTCTGAGGCCTCCCTTGGCAAGATATGATTAAATATTTATTGAACTAAGGACTCAGCTTACTTGGAGTGAAAACTCTTCAGGGCCTCTCAGAGCTACCTAAGATAAGTACCTTATTTTACTAGCTCTCAAATAAAGTTTCTTTCATGCTCTGTCTTCATATATGAAATAAGGTCTAATTAGAAAGTTTTATAATGGAGACAGTCAATTCCCCAATTCCTTATTTGTTTGAATTAACTTTTAAAAAATTGGGGTGTTCACTCTGGCGTGGGCTGAATCCGGACTCTGTAATCAGCCAACAATCTGTGCTTTACAAAGGCTGGCATCCTAACCGCCAGCTTCTGCCATCCACCCCTTTTCCGTGGGGTAATACATTTTAATTGGCACTTCTCCGAGAGCCCTGCACATCTCCATCTGGCCAAATAAACATACTTTTTTGAGTCAGCCTCAACATCTTGGCAGTTAACAAGAGGACAGACTTGCCACAATGGGTAATCTTTAAGATGCATAAAATCCTAAAATTAAAGGACTGAGTACAGGTGGTATAATCAACGGCTTTCTAGAGGATGGCTCATCTACAAAGTGGCTTTGTGTTCAAGAATCTTTTAACACTGCTTTCATGGTCCAAACTGCGGTTCCTGAGCCGTGACAGCATTGAGAGCTCTCTCCTCTCAAAGGGCACTTTAGTGATGAAATATTTCACTTCCAATGACAGCATAACTTTTTGGACATAGCCTTATTAGCAACCTGTCTCCACTGGTCAGATTGAGCCAAGTGTATCCACGAGGCAGAATGGTGAAATGCTTAAGAGCATGGGTTCCAGAGTCTGGCTGGATTCAAATTCTGCTGCTGTTAATTTATGTTTGTGATGTTGGGCAGTTACCATATCTCTCTGTGTCTCAGTTTCCTGATCAGTAAAGCAGAGATAATATCAGTATTTTCCTCATAAGATTCTTGCAAGGATTGATTAAATGAGATAAGGTATTCAATATGTTTAGCATAGGGCATGACTTGTATTTGCTAACAAGTATTTTTAGGCAAGGTCAGTAGACCAAATTCCTTGAGCAGCAGAAAGGAAGTAGAAGGGTGAATTACCAGCTACAAGGTTATTTCTCAGATAATGTCTTACTCTTTTAATGCTTCACTTTTTACACAGTTTAATCATCAAGCAACAGTGTTAGGGATTACATGAGATAATATGATCGGTGTGCTGATTCACTCATTTAGTGTGGGCTCATTTCCTTAAGGAGCACACCTTGACAGAACACTTCTTTTCTCTCTAACCCTCAGGGTCATCTGGTTAAAATGAAGAAAACTTTTAGGGCAAAATGGCTCATACTGCTTCTTTGATAACCACATATAGTTAAGGGATTTTTTTTCTTTCTCCCCCTCCCAAAGTTTTCCCTTTTTCCTATGACCCCTTTGGTGAGATGCCATTCTCAGCACAAAACAGGGACATGATTGTGCATTATTACAACTGGGGATGTTCATGCAAGAGGAAGGCCACCTAGAACAATGGGGCAGATAGATCCCTGTAAATTCAAGGGGCACAAATCATTCTTAGCAGCAGGTAGGGGCCTCTTACCAGTTGCTTTTTCAGGGTTGTTGCACATGAAGCATTGCCATGCTCCTGCTGTTTCGCTGAAGCCAAACACGTCAAAGAACCTCACTTCTTCCAGATGGAGCTGTACCTGGTCCAGATCCTGTTTTAGAAACAGAGCACAAAGAACATAAGCCATTTGCCTGCTACCTAACACTCAGAGACTGGAAAAAGGGGATGTGGATTAGGATGGTCAATGCTCAATCTCAGTGCTAAGGACTAAGAGATAGCATTAAAAAACAATTTATCTTGGCCAGCCTTAAAAAAAGCTTTCAGCTCAAACTTTTCCATGACAGTATTTATAAATGCAGTGGGAGTGAGCATAGGCCCCAGGGCTGAGTGTCAGGATTGACGTGTCAGAGCCTGAAATGGCCCAGAATTTTCTTGCATCTAGTAGTGGCTCCAGATTTTCTGAAAAGAAGGGATATCCAAATGGCAATGTGGTTAGAAGAAATGCTGCTGGAGGATTTACATTTTATATAAAATTGAGAACCAGTTATCCATATCAAAACATATTGTTGGCCGGGTCTGGTGGCTCATGCCTGTAATCCCAGCACTCTGGGAGGCCAAGGCAGGCAGATTGCTTGAACTCAAAAGTTCAAGACTAGCCTGGGCAACATGGCAAAATCTTGTCTCTACCAAAAATACAAAAACATTAGCTAGGTATGGTGGTGCATGCCTGTGGTCCCAGCTACTCAGGAGGCTGAGGTGAGAGGATAGCTAGAGCTTGTGAAGCAGAGGTTTCAGTGACGTGAAATCATACCACTGTACTCCAGCTAGGTAACAGAGTGAAACCTTGTCTCAAAAAAAAAAAAATTATGTGTGTGTGTGTGTGTGTATAATATTTATTTTATTGGCTTTACAGGCGGCTGATGGAAAATGTGGGGGTGGGCTTAATCCCTTGGCCCTTGGTTCCAGTACCATTTAGTCTTATGCTTTATCCTAAGAGTGTACACAAATTTCGATTCTATTCCATAACATAGCTGCATTGATTTTTTTTTTTTTTTTTTTTTTTTTTTTTCTGAGGAGGAGTCTCACACTGTTGCCCAGGTTGGAGTGCAGTGGTGCAATCTCGGCTCAATGCAACCTTCACCTCCTGGGTTCAAGTGATTCTTGTGCCTCAGCCTCCTGAGCAGCTGGGATTACAGGTGCCTGCCACCACACCTGGCTAATTTTTGTATTCTTAGTAGAGACGGGGTTTTGCTATGTTGGCCAGGCTGGTCTCCAACTCTTGACCTCAAGTGATCCGCCTGCCCTGGCCTCCCAAAAAGCTGGAATTGCAGGCATGAGCCACCGTGCTTGCCCTGCATTAGTTTTAATGGAAGATAATGCCTTAAATTATATATCAATAAATTAGTTAACTTTTTTCCTCCAAATGGTTTAGTAGACTTGACACTCCAAGAAGACTACCCATGTTTTATGTGCTCTGTGGCACCATGCCAATGTGTTCCTCTTTAAGGGGCAGGGGAGAGAGGTTCTGTTAGACTGTAAATGGATGGAAAATTATTAGCCTAACCAAATTAAATAGCTCTACTGTCCTCTTGAGCCTTTTCTATTATGTAAATGACTTGTATTCTTTGATATAGGATGGCCAGAAACTGTACTCTTAAAAGGTTCCTCCTCCTAAGAGGGACTTAATGTTCTTGCTAGCCTTGCATATGCCCAGCCAACTAACATGTTTGTGCTCTGTTGAGCTGTGATTTTATTTCCTTTCCTCTAGCCTACATACTCTTATCTTCTCTCCGTATAGGAATAGTTCTTAGAAATCTCAAGGGCTGAGGGGCATTGGAACTATTTTCACTGATTATAAGGGATCAAATAGAGAATGATCAAGTGGTTACCCAGACTGCATCCCAAAGCTCCTGTTTCTCAGTTCTAAATTTCTTGACAGAGGTGAGAAATATGTCCGACTATGAGTTCACTGAGAACAGAAACATATCTATTTTTTTCTCACAATACCGCCAGAATTCAGTCCAGCATCATTAATGGATTAGCACTGATTTGTAGAATCAGCACAAAGGCTTTTTTTTAAACTAATGAAGTATATAAAAGATATTACAAAAATTTAAAGGGAATTTTTAAAAAGAACATTTACATACCCAGGAACATAAACACAATGAAGACAGGGATTTTGTCTGTTGTGTTGGCTGCTATAACCTTGGCACCTATAACCTTGGGACCTAAAAGTGCCTGTCACATAGCAAGCACTAAACATATATTTGTGTAATAACAAAAGGCATGCCCTGGGCCTAGAAATGAATACTTTTCAGCATCCTTTTTTAAGACTATTATGGCTTGTATTCTGGGGTTGGACATTTTGGAGACTTGACATGGTGACTGCAGCATTTTGGCCTGCTAACCTTTAATACCATATTGTAGGCATTCCAACAGGTGCTGTATGTTTAGGAATATTGTTTTAACAAAAATGATTTTGAATATGTTCAATGGAAAAAAAAGAAAACTTTTTTAAAAATTATGTTTTCCAAGATAAAGACTGAAGCACCTGGGAGTTTTGTGAGTTTCAAAGGTACGATCCATATTAAAATGTATAGGGGAAAAGCAGATGTTCATAAATATCAGCTTCAAAACTGCCAAGTCTCTGAAGTCTGTACTTGCCCATTGGCATGCAGATCACTTCGCTGTTTCCCACACAATTAAGAATCAATTTTTCATTTACCACAAACACTACTAGCAAACAGAGTGCTTAAAATAATACTTAAGGGGTCCTTTATTTTCCTGTTCTGAGACCAGAAGTGTCCCAGGTTGTTGCCTATAATCCACATTAGTCTTGGAAAAAAATTTACTTTAAAAGTTTCAGACAGATGGTAAGCCACATTCCTGTGTTCAAGTTCTGAAGTCAAAAGCAGGCTTACCTCTTCAAAGGATTTAGGTGTTGTGCTAAAGGATATCCATGGTAGTTGTATGAACTTTAAAGTTGGTGATAATAGCAAACTTTGAATGGAAAGACAGATGAAACACATATAGTTTCCAAAATTTGTTAAAAATGAAACCAAAATAAATCACAAAACAAGCAAACACAAACCAGCAACCAGTGATACCTAGATTTTTGGACCTTTGGCCTCTTAAATGTGCTTGAGGTCAGTAGTTCTCTCTCCTACTTAACCTTCTTTGCCCTTCTGGGTCCTGTAGCTTCCCAGGCCTTGACCAAGAATTGCTGTATGACTTCTATTTTTTTTTTAAAACAGGAGAACAAGAATAGATTTGTTTAGAGAATTACAAACTTTCTTTAAGATAACTAGACTCCAGAAAAGTGATAAAAATAACTCATATCTAACTCTAAGTCACTGTCTGAGTATTTTTCAGTTCTAATGGGATTAGAACAGAAAGACTAGGCAGACAGACCCTAAGGTGACCTCCCAGTAATTTTCACCTTGTGGTGTTCATCTGTTTGCATACTGCCATCCCCCGTGTGTGGGAAGGACCTTTGATTTGCTTCTGACCAAGAATGTGTCAAAGGGGATAACTTACCAATTCCACTGTTATTACACACACACACACACACACACACACACACAGACCCGTCTTGCTAGCAGATGCATAGGGAGACCCTCTTGCTGTGCTTGAAGAAGCAAATTGCCACATTATGAACTACAGGGACTATAGGTGGCCTTTAGGATCTTAAAGGAGGCTTTCAGCTGGTTGCCAGTAAGAGTTCAAAGTCATCAGTCCTACAACTGCAAGGAAATGATTCCAGCCAACAATCAGAATGAACTTGAAAGCAAGACCCTACACATTTGAACCTCCAAATGAAAACACAGCCCAGCCAATACCTTGATTGTAGCCCTGTAAGACCCTGAGTGGAGGACCCAGCTAAGTTACAGCTGAAGTCCTGACTCTCTGATACTTTGAGATAATATGTATGTGTTGTTTGATGTTGCTTGGTTTGTGCTAATTTGCTATACATTATTGAAAACCAATACTGAGAGTGTGCCATGAAGAGGAAAGAAAAGTGACATCCTTTTGCGCAGTTCTTCATGAAAGTGATGATTCTATTTAGAGGAGTCACATTCTCCCAAGTACACTCCAAATCAGGCCTCAATAAAACACAAAGAATGTTGAAGTTCAAATTATTTTCATTGATGTAAAAAAAAAGGATATATATTCATAGTAGGTATGTACTAAGAAGGATGTTCCTGCAAACATCATTTAATTTAAGAAGGTCAAAAGTCACTGGAGGAAATGGAGGAAAAAATAATATTTTTAAACATTTGGCTAAATGAGCATTTCTCTAGTTTTAGAGAAAAGTCATTAATGAGGGTAGGAATTTGAAAAACTATAAGTCGTCTAAGCCAGGCAGCATAGAAAGATGAGAGAATATTTACAACATCATTTCACTGACAAATGGCAGCATGAGTCAACACAATGGATTTTGTAAAAGTGCATAGTAGTCTCTGGATCTTATAATGTGGTCTATGTACTCTGAGAGGGTACTGTGAAGCAATTTTCCAGAAATCAGTGAAAGTATACGTCTGGAAGAACTTTGGGTTTTGGCACATTTAAATTCTGTCCTAAAGCTATTTGAACACAGATACAAAACATAGCATTGCCTCATGTGCTCTATGTGCCTGTGGTTAGCAGAATGACTCTAGGCACATATTTCAAGTATCTTTCAAGAAATATAAACAAGAACCTTTTTTAAATCCCAAATATTTTCACATATTAATAATCTTTATGTTTGTATAGTTATTTCTAGTGCACATACTCTGGATGTGAAATAAGCTTAGTGAGGGAATATAATTAGTGATTGATCTTTATATTGTCTTAAATTGTTACAGGCATAGTGTCTTATAGGAAATGCTGTTTGTTGAATGAATAAACTAGCAAAAGAGACTTTAAAGAATAAACTAGCAAAAGAGACTTTAAAGAATATCCATGGCACAATTTTTTTTATGTCTTTCAACTTGTGAAAAATATTACTATTGGATTCAATTTATATAACACAGTATTCATGGCACCTGTATCAGAAACCATGGATAAAGTGATGAAGGAGACATAGTCATCAGTCCAAGTGAGAAGGTAATTCATTGGGTCTGCAGTATTCCTCACAGAGGAAACTGAATACAGCTTCATTTATGAGGTGTT